GTATATACACACACACACACACACACACACACATATATATATATATGTATGTATGTATATATATATAATCTTTTTCAGAGACTATATTGTTCTATTAATTCTCAGTCCATTTCAATAATGTGCTTGTAAATAAAACTTTTGCAAGACGTGAAAATCGTGTAAGATTCTTTTCCCGGAGCTATTTTAGCTAGTTTATACAGCTAAAATTTTAGCATATTTGCTTTGATACAAAAGCAATATTTTCCACAGTGTATTTTTATTTCCCGCATTTATAGTGTTCTATAAAGGTGCACAAAAGCATGCATCATCATAACCCACACATGCAAGAATAAACGGCTTTTCCTGACAAAGACAAACTGTCCGGGCGTATTACCGCGGAAAGAACAAGGACACGTAACGGCGGATTCGCGTTTCTTCTTTGGCAATGCACCATTGCAGTTCGTCTATGTCGGGGCGAGCTTTTACGTCGGCATTGACACAAGATTGCACAGCGGCAGCTAATTTCCAGGGTGCAACGTGTGCAAAAAAATTATTCTGCCAATAAAAATTTTACCATCTTGCATCGGTTAACGCCGAATTCAATTTCATTGTAACGAATAACCCGGGCCTTCCACGTCTCGCTGACCTCTCGCGATCGTGCGCAAAAAGCCGGATCGGGGCAGCTCTCGACTATCGAAAAACAATTAAATGGATAAAATATCGACACATACAATTCGATAGACGGCTGATATTTTATCAGCTGTTCGGCCGATTCATCGGCATCTTGTTGGGCGTGAACGTATGCTATGAGGCTTGTGGTAAACTGCTGAGGGTGAACCCGATTAGATCAAAAAATCGTTATTTTCTCGCTGTTGTCACATATCTTTCACTGTGACAACTGAATCGGCTTTATTTATTTCAAAGAACTAGATTGCAGTATGATACAATCTTTGCAATTATCAGAATATTAATATGATGGATTAATTGAGTCTCACATTAGAAAGATGTCGATAATAAAATACTATATCAAATATTTTAATTTAACTATTGGGTAGAAGCACACATAAAGCTTATTAAGTAATATATCAGGTCTACCGGAAAGTTCTGCCCGTTTTTGGAATAAAACAAAATACAAATTTTTATTACCGTCAATAAACTTTATTAAATAATGTAATTGCCATTATTATTAATGATTTCTTGCCAGCGTGAGGGCAATTTGTATATCCCTTTTTCGAAAAATGTTTTATCTTTTGATGCGAAAAATTGAACCAGTGCTTGTTTGATATCTTCTTCATTTTTTAATTTTTTGCCCCTCAAAAAATTTTGTAAGGACAAAAACAAGTGATAGTCGGTGGGTGCTAAGTCCGGGGAATATGGTGGATGCGACAGAATTTTCCAGCCTAGTTCTGCAATTTTTTGACGAGTATCCAAAGCAGCATGTGGCCTGGCATTATCATGATGCAGTATGATGTTCTTCCTATTGTACATCGCCGGCCTCTTTTCTTGGACTGCTGTATTTAAATTATCCAGTTGCTGACAATACTTCTCCGAATAATGGCAATTACATTATTTAATAAAGTTTATTGACGGTAATAAAAATTTGTATTTTGTTTTATTCCAAAAACGGACAGAACTTTCCGGTAGACCTAATATATATGTATATTGTTAATTTTATTTTACATTATTTTATATTATTTTTTACAAAAAATTGTTGACAATACAAAGGAATATGTCATAATATCAAATAAATTCAGAGAATAATAAATAAAATTACTTTGCTTTTTTTAAGTAACATATAACATTTTCATTATTGCTTTGTGAAGAATATCTGTTAAAAAGATTGAAAAAAGAAAAAAATAAATAATATTTTGCAAACATAAATTATCAATCAACGGTAATTATCAGCACATTAATTGAGATTCTTCGATAAAACCGAGATACTTGTAAACATTACTATATACATCAGATATCCCCAAAGCGCAGAGCAAGACCCAAGAGACGACACCAACGACTTCACCATCGACAACGAGTGGACCACCGCTGTCACCCTAAAGTGTATATAAAAAAGAATGTATTTTTAATTAATCACATTTATGACAGCATATAGACGATGAAATAGCGCGCCAAAATAATTAGAAGATTTTGTCATTTAATGCCGCAATTATTTTACAACTTCTTTTGAGTAAAAAATATATGCACATATATTTAATATTTTTAAAATGTATAATATAAAAAAAAAATTAAGAGATACTCACTTGGCAAGCACCTTTCCCAATCTTTTTCAGCGTACATATCTGGTTTTCATTGGTGCGTGGATTTTTGTGACCTTGCAAGCAGCGCTCTTGGCTCAAGACATTAACGCCAAGCCATCTGAGTATTTCTGAGGATGATCCACTTGTTTTTGTTCTTCCCCATCCGCTCACAATGCCGCGTTTGTCACCGTTAATGTAGTTTTTACTTGCTAAAGGAATCGGACCTTGGACATCGTTTGCTTTAATCGGTTTTTTCAACTACGCGAAAAGAACATTCGCAAAATTGTAAAATAAAATAATAAAAGCAAGCGCGAGATTATTTTGTGTAAGTTTTCTTCTACTCATTTATGCACTTAACGAGTTTGGTAAACTTACAGTAATCACAGCGATATCATCCCTCCAGCCACTCTCTTTTTCACCGGTGTATTCTGGATGTATTCGAATGCATTTGATGTCGTGTTTATCGCCACCTATTCTCGGACTATTGGTTCCAGTTACGACAATTTGCAAATTAAATAATTTAGTAAGCTGAGAAAAAAGATTAAAATAAAAAATATTAACACAGAAAGAAATTGAATTGGAAAGAGCAATGTACATAAATGAATAAGAGACAAATGGTAAAAATAGTATTAATTAAGTAAATATATATCAAATATGTTCATGTGTACCATAATATATAGTGCTCTTATTATCTGATTGGTCGGAAAATATACTGTGTATTCGATTAGTTCAGGTATTAATGAAATATAGCCTCGGGTATATTTGATAATTAGGAAACCGAAATAACTGAAAAATTAGATACGTAGATATCGAATATCAGAATAATAAATCCGGAACGTCCGGATATCAGAATAATAATCGGAAAACTATTTGAATAAATTTTTTATTCAAATATTTAGATAATATTGGCATAATTTTTTTAAAACTCTGTTACGTACCATGTCGTTCGTATAGAAATCGTCATCTACGCAATGAGCAGCAGTGAGAATGTGCGTATTACTAATGATAGTACCCCCGCAAATATGCTCACCGTAAGATTGGAGGGATACTTGATACTTAAATTGACCAATTGCGGCTATGTCACCGCCGATGATTCGTTCAGGCTCATCGCAGCAAGCCTCTATAAGTAATAATTAAGATGGAAATTATTTATTATTTTGTCTGTGAAAATGAGAAACAAATATAATAAAAAGTATTTTAAAAATATAACACGCACATCAATTTATTATTGTAAAATATATATTAAACCTTGTTAGATTTTATTTTGTCAAACTTGACATTATATTCACAAATTTTTTCCGCACATATACGATTTATATGTTTGTCAATGATTGATTTTATATACCTACGCTGGGCGATGGCACTGAGAGCGACGAGAATAGCTAACTTGATCATCCTCACCGTCGCAAATCAAATCCAGATCGAATTACGAACTGGATAGAGGAGATCATTCAACCGTTTTCTTTTATATACAGTATCGTATCTGCGTTCAGCCTTGTATAACAGCTGTTCTTATTTGCACTATATTAGCAAACATATTACGCATTTTATTCATTCAATTGTTAACGAAGCACAACTGTATCTGAGTGCAGCTTTCAGAAATCTCAAAGCAGATATAAAAAGTAACAAATATAAAGTGATTAATTTAATATTATTCATGAATGTTTTCATTATTTTATACAAAGTGTTTGTTTATTATCTATTTAAAAAAAAATTGTATAACGAAATTATTTCATCGAAAGAAGTAAAGAGAAGCGATAATTAGAAAGTTAAAATAATTAATTATCGTTCATGCGCGCGGACAATGCGATTTTATTAACATATTACTTTAGTTCTTGTGTAGTAAGAGACATAACATCAATATATTATCTAATCTTAAAAATATCGAATTATTTGTGACTTATCGCAAGAAATAAAATTTTTTTTTAATTTATAAAAGTACAATTAAAAGAATTCATTATTCAAACAGTGTGTATAAGATGAATTTCAATTGACTATAATAAATATCGTTAAAAGTCGATATATATCAAATTATAGAATCTTTATATCCATGTGACGTATAGATCAAAGTTGTCTCAATAAATTTGTACATTTCAAATTCAAATTTCAGCAAATTTTAATGTAAATTTTTTGAAATCCTATACTATTAAAATATGCGTATATTTAAATCAAATTTCTATCAATAGTCAATGATTGATAAATTTATAATCGCCAAATCGTTCTCTATGGGCTCAATCAATTGCACAAACAATGTGTATTAATATAGTACATTTTTTATAACAAAAATAAAATCACACATGTTTTCAATTGATAATATTTTATATAATGCTTATCTTTCTCTCTAAACATATAATTTTCATAAGTAATAATATTTGCAATAGTTTTGACTAATTAACTAATTAATTAATTAATTTAATATTTGTCATATTTGTATATATGACAAATATTACAAAAGACAAATAATGTGTATTGACAAATAGTTGATACACAAAGTAAATAACAAATATTGAAAAAAATATTGATATGATATTTTGATGAGATCTTTTTGTAAAGAATAAAAATATTTTAGTTGTCTTATATATATAAATAGAGTGCTTCCCGAAATTAAAGGATAAAGACTTTGAAGTGATTAATTATATATTCATGTATCGCAATGCAATAATGAAATACGTGAATACATAAAATATTTCTTCGGCACAGCTGGATATGACTGCCGCACTTTACTGTCGATGTCTTCATATTACCGCGTCCTAATTTGACGGGATCGATATCCGGCTTAATTGCGTATAGAGAATTGCGCACCGCGCTACTTCGTGATAGTAAATTTGCGCAATATTTATTAAATAAATTTTTATCGATTTTTTTGGACGTCTGTAAACACAGTTTTCTTAAATTTCACGTTAAAAAAGGTAGTATTTGCACGAAATAATATAAAATTATGCAAATGTTTGGATTATATAAAGGCTTCGTGTTTTTATCTTTGGTTTGACATGTTAATCTTTTATTCATATCGGTGTACATCATTTTGTATAATCCACACGTTTCAAAACAACTTATCTCTTTTATAACTTGTTATTCATCTGACAAAGTGTTCCAAATCTTATAACCATAACTCAATATTGCAAAACTAATTAAGAATAAACATAAAATGTCTACATTCTCTAATAATGACATAGTTTTAATATACATCTACATGCATGTTTATATGACAAGAAAGCTATCTTGCAATGTAAATTATTATGCGTGTGAATTTGTATTTTATTTATCAACGTCGGTTATATTGTTTAATTTTATTGTGGAGGATAGTAAAATAGAAAGTTTATCTTTATTTAACCTTTAGCATATCTCGTAAATATACTCAGTAGCTTGGCAAAGTGATCGTTGGTATAAGAAGAACGTGTAATATAAAAAAAAATTTCCCATTAACCCATTAATGTCGCCGTTAGCAATATAATTTGCTACAGCACTTTAGGCGTACAAGATTATAATATGTATATACATAATACTTTGAGATGGTAATATAAAACACACAGCATCATAGAAAAGCGTAACTCTCTGCAAATATTAATAAACTTGAATTCTTTCAAGTCGGAAATCTTTAATAAAACTAACATTAAATCTGGTTATTAATTACTATCCCAAAAGGTCACTCTTAATTAAATTACTTAATTTGAAATAAAAATCCAGAGATTCGTGATGCGTTATATATACGCGTAGTAAAACTCACATCGTGATTTATTGCCGTAACTTGTGAAAGCTCGCGTTTTCAGCTCGAATGTATCCCTCGCGATAAACTTGACATTCGTAAACATTTTAACTGGCTCAACTCTTTCCGTGGCAATTTGCGTGAAAAGGCACGCTGAAAGCGAGGTTGTGCGTACTATTGGGAAGGTACATTCGTTTGGCTGGCCGTTGTTTATTTGAAGCAACAAAGTTGAATTGCCCGTTAACAAAGCAAGATCGCAAACACTTTTTACAGTAAAGCGGCCTCTTTTTTGTTTGAGTCACGTGCAGAAGCGGATCTGCGAAAATTAGCCGCCGTTTGTCTACCCGGCTATCGAGATCTCTCGACAACATGCCCGTATCTATCCACACAGAAACGAAGCGAATTTTGAAAAAATAAAAGAAGAGAAAACGCACTAGCATATGTATCTCTCAAATATATACAAAAAAATAAATCGCATTAAATCAAGCGTGAAAAAATGTACAATGCCGAACGGAATAAAACTGCCCGTACAAATTCCATGCGTGTTTTGCCAAATCGAGAGAATGTTCAATTTAACATGTTTCACTTTGAAATTCCGCATTATTACGCGCTTTAGTATGATATTGTGAATTTAGCGCCAGCGCTCGCAAGAATTGAACGTATCAATATGTTTTGTGGTTTCAATAGTTCTTCATGCAATCTAATTAATTTGTGTGTACGTGCACGTGTGTATGTTAATAAGAATAGAAAATATATTTCGCTTTAACATCATGAATACTCAGACTAATATTCAGTACTTAAATATTTAGACTTTTTAACGCCTTTTAAATTACTATTCTATCGAAACTATATCTCTCCTTTTTATCTTCAATATAGAATTTGTTCATTATTAAAATCTTTTAATTATTAAAATTATAATTTGTTATGCACGTATTATTTCAATATCAGTTATTTGTTGCACAATTAATTATTTTTTCATTAAATTGTAATATAAACTTGTTCATTTTGTGTTTTTATGTTACAATTATCGTTTAAGGCTATATTTATAATTGTTACTTAAGTTTCATTTTTAAAAACTATCAATCAAGATGCTTGATAAGTTTATATATTGACACGCAAATGATTCAATAGTTCGAATATAGTTCAATTGACATTGAGTTCAGGGATAAACAAAATAGTGACGCAATAGTTGCTCGTGTGAAACCTCAAAAGTCGTATGGAATCGTGCGTGACTCAAGGCTATGTCTCTCAAGATTGGCTTCATCCGAGTTCCTCTGCTGTATCGCGATTGTAAATATGATGTCACGAATATCAAATTGACTCTCAAGATCCGTATGTTGAATCATATCGCGTTTCAAGATTAACTTCAGCTAAATTCGTAAGCAGGAATTAAGAGATAAGAGTAATTATATTTTACAATAAGATATATAGATAAATTTATAATTTATTATTAATAAGATATATTTTACAATTAGATGTATAGAATATATATATAGAATAATCTGCTAATAATTCAATATTTTTCGCGAAATATTTAATAAAAACGATCGATTTACAAGAGTCGCACGCGTGGAGAGCAATCACGATCGAGCTGATCTTTAATTTGAGCGCAGGTGAAAGACGGGAAAGTGGAAGATACGTGAAATTTATCGTTGGTGAACGGTGCCCACTAACGAATGTGTCCCAGAGGGGTAGAATGGGTGGACAATGCAGTTTTCCAATTTTCATCCCCCCACCCTTGGCGAGCATTCGAGCCCCTGTTCGACCTGGCCAGCTAGTTCCCCGCGCGCGTGCTCTCATCCTTTATCATCCGCTACCCGAACAATCATAAAGCATGTTGATTCACGGTCCGCCGTAAATTTAGTGTTATTTTATTCTTGCTTTAGCGTCGCTTAAGCGGCACTTTTAACGACGCGTCGCTCGAATTGCATCGTGCCTCGTTAGACGCAGAGAAATCGTCGCGCTGTATTTTTTTTCTGCAATTGTCTATCGTGTAACCAGAAATGTACGCTGATATTCACTAATTTAATTGCACATCAAATAAATTATTCAATTTAATAATTTCGAATTTTAAGAAGACTACATGGTTTTAGTCTATTTTAAGGGGACAATTACGTAAATTATTACTGCAAAATATTAGAATTCTTAAGACTCGCAAATGCTATAATTTGAACCTAAATACACAGACGTCGGACGTTATGTTGAGTCGGCTGAGTTTTATACTTCGTATCATTCCTACTGCGGACTGACAGTTATATACGATTACACTAGGAGAGAAGCTGAACTGGTATTCGTTTCGGCGACGGTGAGCAAGTAGGAGGGATGGTTGAGACAGGACGACAGGAGCCTCGCGTCCGGGAAGAGTTACCACCATTGCTACTAGTGCTCCTGTCCGAACTTGAAAAATAATTCAACACGAAGTAATGCCCTGAATATAAAATGCGCATAGGGCGTGCCAATTTCAAAACAGGTACATATATATATATACAGATATATATATGTCTGAAAATACGGTTATCGCATTTTCATTTATAGATTTGATATAGTTTTTGAATTTAAGTCTATAATTATTATATTTATATGAGCCACTTATATAAAAGAAGCATCATATTCAAACAAAAGATAAAATCCAATATTTTGAGAAAACATATAGTAAAAGATATTAAAAAAAGTATTGTATTATTTAATGTATTCACATATATTAAATTATTTTAATATTTTTTAAATCTTGTAATATATATTCAAATTAAACAACACAGATACTTTTAATAATATTTTAGAGTTATAATAAAATTGATTATTTCTGTACATACCTTCTTCCATCACGATAACCTGAGAAGAGTCTGTGTTTTTAAATATTTATTGTATAAAAGACATTAACAGAATAAAATGTAACACGTTGTAGACGTACTTATTCGCTAAAATTTCATGAAATTCATGATGTATTCTCCGTGTCCCTTCGAACGAAAAGATATAGCACGCGCGATACACGATATCAAATTACCTTCGTATCCTTTGGCGCTGCGCGGTCGCTGTAATCCCATTGACTTTAAGAAGCACACTCTCAAAGAAACGCCGTCAATTGCGAGGACGAAAAGAACGTTCCGGAACATTGAGATCAAATGGAGTATATCGCAAGTCATTTAATGAATTATTTGCGCGCAAACCTAAATTTACGGGACACTATACGAGGAATTTTGTGCAAGAACATTTTGTCTTTATTTCCATCACCATTTATATTAAATTCCCACAAATTACTTGTCATCTTCTTATATACGATCGAGGAGTAGATATACAAAATTTATTATACTTTTATTAGAGCAAAATTAAATTGAGGTTTTAAAGCACGACCACCAAGGAAGACCGATGCGTTTTCTTTTATGTAACACGTATTATTTTACACTATTTCAACTCCTCGATCGCATTAAGCTCTAAGGAGCTATGTTATTTAATTGCTAATCTAATTGACCGATCGTGATATAACTTATCAATTTTACCATAAATTTTTGCAGTTTTTATTTTTACGCGCGCGAGAGTTTGCGATTCTCTCTGATATGATTTATGTAACGTTTTTCGAAATTTTCCGAATTAGATCAAGCTCCATAACTTTATCCGTAATTATGTAGAATACATAAGTAGTTTTTATCGTCAATTTTTGGATTGCATCATCTCTATTTTACGAATTTAATAGCTACTTTCGCGGGGAGCGCACGTATCACGTCTGGCATATCATAACACGATTTATAAATATATTTTTAAGATCTAAAAGTCTATCTTACGTTCTAAATCGGCTTCGTCACATTTTAGGTACATTTTAGCATTGGAAACGGCAAGAAATAAGCGTGAAATACTGTCGAGTGTGTGCTAGAGCAAGAAAGTTTGGCTGTTGCGCGCGAGTATTAGAAGCCACGAAAACGGAAGCAGAAGTCCGGGCCAGTGTCTGACGTTACTTCCCGAAGAGACGTATCCGGCGTCACGTTGCATGGCTTCCGTGCGTTCTCCTGTAACAGAAAAGTAAAAAGGGAGAACCAAGTGTGTCAGCGTTACACTCGTCAGCGATTCTCGTATCGCGCTCGTAATCGTGATATGAATATTTACGACTACGATATCGAATTAACGCGATTTCGCGCGATATCATCTAATGAGTGTCATGCCAACAGGAATGCTTCACACGAACAGACGTTGAAAAATTGCTGTATTAGGTTATTGAATCTGTATATCGCGCGCACGCTGGAAATCTTGATACTTTTTGAGAATAATGACACTATCCACACTCGTAAATCAACGTCACTCCAAGATTACGGGATTATAGGTTTCCCCATGTTACAAGGCATCCATTAATTATCGCGTTGTTTGAGGGATGTCGATACGCATTTTTCCATGTTATTTCTTCATTCTCCGCTATTTAAACTTGACATAGTGAAGATCGATTTAACAATGTTCTGTATTAATTACATGCGCAATATGTTGTTTGCAGATGTAATTGATACAAAATTTTTATAAAGCATTACATTTTAATTAATAAAGATTTTTATATTTTATATTTTACACGTTGATCTCTCGAAATATATATCGAATCGCAAAAAAGACGATATTATACGATTTACTACGTTTTGAAATAAATTGTACAGCATTTGAAATTTGTACATCTAGTTTAAAGCAGTCCGTCTAAATTGCATGTGACAGTTTTACTCGAAAACACTTGCAAATGGCCTGATATCTGACATCTGCATATTATCTCAAAAATATCGACGACGTGTTCACAAACTCTCCGCACATTGTACGATGTAAATGATACATAGCCGATGCTAAAGAACATGCTTTGCACATATGGCGCCTAGCACGTGTAGACGCATTCAGCTATGCTTACACGAGGGCGGTTAGTTTTGCCAAGATTCAATCCGCAATATTTCCAGCAAAAGACGCCAACGGCGATGACCGTACATCCCGGGAAGTTTAAAAGAGCCGTAAATATTTCAATCGAGCTGCCATCGCGAACATAAATTACTCCGTGGCGGTTGGCAAAGCGGCGGGAATAAAGGGAAACGTTTCGCGCTTTGATCTCGCATGAATCCATTTTCAAATTCGTTCTACATTTACGCATCAAAATGTATCTATGTTCGATCGCGTCGACGTTGAAAGTAGTTAAAGTCTTAATGAGACGAGAAAACCTTAATTCCAACCATCGGTAGCCCTTTGAAGCTTAGATTCCAATCGCGCTTTCATCCCGCAGTTCTTTACGACCATTAACACGGGCGAGAACGAGCTGAACTTTACAGAGAAACTGGTAACAGGTACTTTATTTTCTGAAATTACGCTTTTAACGACTTCTTCTCCGATTACGCAGCGTTGATCCTTTAATGGTAAGAATATCTCGCGGTGTACGAACAACCTCACCGTGTTGCTTTCTGATCTTCAAGAGAAGGAAGGTATTCACAATTTTAATATAATTATTATATGATAAGAAATTATTATAAAGCATAAAAATTTTATATAAAAATAATTTTAAAATATTTTGTGTTTAAAGATAGTCTTTAATCAATATTACTACTTATAGGATATAACTTGATTAGAACGAGCAGTAGTAATGCACCGTACGAGGCAGTCATACAAAGTGCAACGAGATCTCTTCTCGATGAATCGCGCGCATTCAGTTGACATAAATTTATCGATACGATCGATCATATCATAAGCATGTAATCATCAATATTCCAACCAATATTTGAGTTTATGCACGTGTATCGACTAATTCCAGATTAATTATTAATTTCGTGATATGCATATACGAAGTAACAAGATATTATGTATTACAAGATGTAAATTCAGTTCTACGATTTCTGAATAAATTGACATTAATGTGAATTTGATTATTGCTGCAAAAAATATAGCTTTTAACTCTCATGCATTACTGCAATATACTGTCTATACACATTGCCAAGTTAGTTTAATGTTTATCTCTCCTTTGAATATCTATCTTTTACTAAATCTACATATACTTTCAGAATTTTATATGCCAACATTTTCTACTAGCAATCTGTTGAAAATTTCATGTCTCGTTTCTCGCGTCGTTATATTAAATTATAGTAGTTTACGCGATAAAGCGATAATTATCAGTAAGCGTGGCGCAGAATTCGATGAGGATCGATAACGATCGGCCGTACTGTATCTCTAGAATCCAGGCGACAATATGCTGCTGAAGCATGCCTGCGTACTGCCGAGTATGCGCCCGATCAGGTATTTGTACGAAAGCAGCGGCGTCATTAACCGTATATGAATTGCGCGTTCAATAGAGGCGTGCTTCCGATCACCATACCGTGAACGTGAACGTCGTGCATTCGTGTTAGTGTAACGGGGAATGCGACACGCATAGTACGGCACGCGGCACGCATACGCGTCGTAACTGCACGCGTCGATTAAAGCGGAAGCAAAATCCTTGCACGTGTGATGAATCTACATTCAGTAGTGCGGTGAGGATCTATCACGAGCAGTTTGCGATCGCGTATACGGCAACATTTGACAGTTGATATCTACTTAGCACCTCCTGCATGGACAGTGCAGAATGCAAATGACGCGCAAACGTGTGTACTTGATTATATTACTATTTCGACTGTTGTGGCATCAGCTTCGACAACATGATTTCAAGTGTATGAGAAAATTTAATCCTTTTTAATACTTTCCTAAAATATTTTTTGTTCTTATACAAAATAACATTATGTTAATTGCAGCATCTCATTATATATAATTTACAAAAAAATTATATTATAAGAATAAAATAATCTTAAAATTATAATTATAATTTATCTTCTTTGAAAATAATATGAGAACAGAAAAATATTTATTAGATACTTCTAATTGTAAACAATTGTTATATGTAGGTAGTTATAAAAATTAAGACTATAATGTTTTTGTCTTCTATAAATCATTAAAATTTAAAGCATGATGCGATTAGAATATTCCGGCTAATTCATGATAAATAATTAGAATTTTTCCATTATTATGTTTTCATTTAAAAATTTGTCTCTTAATTGCCCATTAATGTCCAATTATTCCAACTTTTTTCATTTTTTCAAACATCGCAATCCTTTATTATTCAGCGCCGTTTTTCACGCTCAAAGTATTTATAAATTCTTTTTTAAAAATTGTGTGCCATATATTAAAAAATAACACACACGCTTAATTATAAAAGGATTGATTAGCGGGCTGTGAGAATAAGCTCGGAATTAAAAATTAATTTTCAATCTACGATAACGGTTCAGAATACAGATCGCAAAGTATACGAACATAATTTCTCTTGTAAATCAATAATTTTTTCGAAACGGATTAGAGACGATATAAAAGAAAAAGCGATACGTGAGCCATATACTTGAGCGCAGTAAATTAAAAAAACCACAATATAATAACACATTAAAGGATGCATGTAATTATGCGATTAAGGTGTAACCGTGACCTGTTCAAAACGCGTTAATTTACTTTGGCTTACATACATCGTTTAATAATTATCGACTCGATTTTTTATGGAGTATCAGCATATAATAAGTATGCAAACGTGCATGATAGCCGCGCGAAATTGTAATGATCTACGAGCGTTGAAAGTTTACAAGTAAGTTGCACTTTAGCTCATCTGCCCGCTTTTAACAACTCCTTTAGACACTGTCTCGGAAACTGCCCGTTGGCTTTGCAGAATTATGCTTGAAGCGAGGTAAAAGAGTACAAAGTTATTTAAAAATGAAAATCTTTAGTTCATGGATACGCGATTTGCCGCTTTGCATTCTGCCTGCGTATATTCGAAAAATAATTACTTTTTGTGCAGTTAATGATAAATTTTAGATAGATAATTAATGCAAAATATTTTAAGGTTTCTTTGCATAATAAACGAGACAGATAAAAGATTAAAAGACTAGTTTAAATTCATTTATTGAGCCACTATATATAATCCATACTGTACCTGGATTAATGCGAGCGCTTTAACTGGCTCAGAAGATATTTCATTTATTAAAGGACGTTCATTATTATATCAAATGGAATAAATGGATTTCTTGAAGTTTAAAAATTCTCATTGTGAGAGCATGCATATGAAAAAATTAGGATAATGGGACTCGGGACACATGGATTTCACTTTGTTCGAGTATTTTGAATATGAAATTTAATAATATCGTACGTTAAGAGGACACAAGACACCGCTACAGAAACGGAGAGCGAGATAAGGAGCGAGAGGAGAGATGTAGAAGAGCGGAGAGTTTGGAGCCGGTATAAACGACAGTCTAGGGAGCCGTTAGGTATTAAACTCGCTGCAAACTTCCGCAGTCCGTCGTGCTCGATATATATTTAAAATATCCTGGAAGTATCCATGAATCGTCTAGACTGAGCCGGCGACGTACCGAGGCACCAGGGATTCGTAGGATGTCGGAAAGTGATATCATAACTCGCTACAAAGGAACGTCCCGATTTACGAAGTTACTTAAAGCCTGTTTACCTCCTTCCTTCTTAATTTCTTAAACGATTTTAATCCATTTCCTCAATGTTACGACGATATCTGCAATGTAAATATTATTTCCTCTTGTCGTAAATGTATTTTCTTCCTTCGCGTTTAATGTATTTTTTATACGTGGAGAAAATACGTAACGTGTTTCAATGAATCGTGGTAAAAATTTGCAAGCATCAAGAACCGTATTAAATACATTTTACGAGCATCTATCTTAAGGTATCATCGAAAATCCGCAGCGAGTTGCAAGATGGTGAGAGGATCGAGCTCGAAGACAAGCGAAAAAAGAGAAACAAGAGGAAGGAAGTACCGCGCTTGAATCGAGATAGCGAAATTAAAAGAGGTCAAGAGAGAGAAAAACTTTCGACGAAATCCTCGGTGTTCTCCGCCTGCCGTTCTGGACCAAGCCGTATAGCAAACGAACAGATCCCGACAAGATCTCGCCGCTGCTCTGGGCGCACAAGCAGCGCGAAAACTCGCCGGTGTGCAATTAGGAAAATTGAATTCCGGCATAATTAACTTTCTTAATTAATAGAATCGCAAAATTGTATCCTTAATCCGGCCGCAACCATAAGTGCCGTTGGCAGATGCTATGCTCGAGCGGTAAGTGAAGGGAAGAGAAAAGAAAAGGACATTGGAAATAGTCAACGTGGCTCGGGACTTGTAGAAAGATGTGCGACGAGGATGGGATAAAGGATGCAGGTGGAACGAAGACGGTAGGATACAGGACTGCCGCAGGAGATGGTAACGTCGACTACGACGCCGGAATGGGGGAGTCGCTGTAAGTTTTGATATATGCGCGACATTATTTACGATCGCATAAGAATTAGCTCAGACGGCCGCCAAAGCCCACCCCCGACGGCAAGAGCCGTCGCAAAAACCAGGCATCAGACGCGGACTGGCACTGCACTCGAGACGTTTTTGCACTCGGTGCATTGGCTTCCTCAAAAGTCGTTAAATCCCGCGCCGCTTTCGACAAATCGCGCGCAAATGGCGCTTCTTGCCGCGCGAATGTTCGTGGCTAGAAATGTTGGTGGATACTTGAGGATATGATGCATGCGAGGACGAAGGGCTGTGTTGTATAAATGCCTCTTGTGATTTAGTAAGAGATTGGAATCTGATGTACTACAATTACATCGAAAGGAAAGTAATATTTGATAAGAGAAATAGAATTTAGCATTCTAGATAATAAATGACTATTCTCTGTATTAATTAAAACATCGACATAGATTGGCATTGAATTATTAATGAAAGTTGATTAATATAATGTGTGAATACAAATCTTTTATCGAAGCTTTTTTAAATAAGAAAATCTGTAAATAAGAAAAGTACAAGCTGTCTTAATCTTATAATTTTATCTAACTTAATCTTTTCCTCTTTTTCTCTTTCTCTCAATCAATCCGATTAAAAAAACAAAACTTAACTCTAAAATTTATTTGTTATATAATAAAATGAAATTAATCGCGAATTTCGCAGAAAAGTCATTTTACTGTAATGCAATATCTTATAGTAATCAACTATCATTAATTATCCACTGCCGATTCATGGCGGCATTTTTATCAGTACAGATTGTTTATTACTTCGAGGAATCGATATAAATTCATATCGATTGCACGAGCCGAAAGCTCGTGCGAAAACATTTCAATGTACTTCATTTTAACCTGCCTATACGAATCCCACGAGGCATTTTCATATTTCCGAACGCATTCGCCAAATTGTTAATCGAATCAACAACGCCCGTCCCAATAAAAATTCAATAAAATACTTTGCTCGTCGTGGTTTCACCATACGAACTTTAATGATCGACGATAGTTTTTAATGAGCTTAATTCAACTCTCTAATCTCGATAATGACAATGGTTATCAGTTTAATTCCGATTATCGGTATAAATGCCAATAATTAATCGTCAGTTGATCAATTATTGGCTATTCTTGCGGCAATCTCGAGGCCACAGAAAAAAAAGTTTCTTTTCCTCCGCCATCGGTTTTTCGATAAGATTAAATATAAAGTTTTGATATAATATCTCACTCCCAGACACTGTTATACAGAAAAGTCTGCGCTCTGCTTTTAAAACAATTTTAAAATTCAAACGAGATCTGAAGAAATTATTGTAGAAACTAGGATACACTAGGATTCGATTGTATTTTTTTATTTTATTATAAGTCAGTTATTTTAATCTTAATTAATAAGAAAATTTTGTATTTTTAATACCATTTCCGGTACATGATATTCGCGCGTCATCCAGCAGAAATATTTTCATGCAAGCGCGCTCATAAAAATGCCCGCTGTCTCGTTTAATACCATTGCAATGGCACTTTCTTCGGACTCAGCTCGTTCGTACCGATAAAAACTGCGCGAATTCGCAATCTGCAAAACTAGAAAACGAGTGGCTGGACTTCTGATTTATCGTCGGGCTCTCGCGCGGTCGCGTATCGTGCCTGCGGTTGATGTATCGTACGCGTACGTATATACAGTGAGTGAAGTGCTGTTGCAAAGTGACTCACAATCAGACGAAAATTCAGTTTTGCGATACATGCGAGTGAATTAAACGCGGTTCCTTCTATGCGTCGTGTGATATTTTTCCGTGCCTCTTCAGGATGAATTCACAGCACGGTTCAATAAAAATTCACGCATTTACTATAAGTTATGTATTATTACAATTATCCTTACATATTACGCATTTTTCTAATGGATATAATCAAGTTGTAAGATAATAAGTTTTTAATTACTTATTTCTTTTTTTTTCTTACGTGATTTACATACATTAAGTACTGGCGTATAACGAATAAATATATAATTTATATGTGTGTTGCTCAATCCTGCGCTCAACGTATTAATTTTATATTCTCTCGGAGATTTACTCCGACATGCATGAGAATCCTACACGGAGTTATAATGATACAGTATTTACACTGTGTTTACGATCGTATAAATAATAATAAGAAATTTCATAAGTTATGTCAAGTATGATATTACGGTTTCACTGTTTACATTCATAATTTTATGTTATTTTGCTATATTAAAATGTAATAAACCTTTATTGAAGTCAAATTATTAAGAGTCTTTATTATAAAGTAATCTTCTCTCTTTCTTCTTTCATATTCTCATTCTTTTAAAAAATATATAACGTCATTATTTATAAAAATTAATTCTCATTTTTATATAAATTATCTTCTAATTATGTGTGTCACGTTAAATTTTATAAGTATTAATTTTTAGGAAATGATAGGAGAATATATGCAAAGCAAAAAAGTCTGAAAATAAATGACGGTTATTGTTTCATATTTCGCAGCATCTCTCACAACTCACAAAGTCTGGCCCGATTCTCCGTTATCGTCGATTCGCGCGATATTCATTTTCACATATTTCGCAATATTTTTATGTCGATATACACCCGTAAAAATCGGACGGCGCACTTCGCTTTAGCTACGCGCGGGCGACGTAGTTTTCTTCGCTTGCACGACATAAACCGCGTAAATCCGCAATCTACGAGGCCGCGAGTCGCCTAAGTTCTGATTTATAGCCGCGCGGGGCACGTTTCGCGTGCGGATAGACACACGGGAGGAACAGATAGCGCATGGGCGTACGTACGCGTTTTCGCTCGGGAAAAATGCGACACCACGCGCCACCGGGCGCTTCGTCGCAATAACCTCCGAAGGGAAATTCACGATAATAGAGACTACCCATGTAAATTTCGCATGCAAGTGTCCCTGCGATCCTGCCGCGTCTGCTTCCCGGTTACGTTCCTTCGTCGGTTTTTATCCTTTTCCATGCCATTCGTTCCATTTCAGCCAGCAGATTCTTATATACCTTTCGGGGTTTCTGCTGATGTCTTCATAATTTACATACTTTCCCTTTATTACGATATTTTTCTCTTTAATCTGTAGTTTTAGATGAACATTATTTGCGAAGATAAATTAAAAATTTTCGAGACGGGAACAATAAAAGAATTAATATCTAAATCTATATTTAGCTTTACAAAATTTGTTGGAAATGCGCGATGTAAAAACGAGAGAAATTGAGCAAACAATCTTTTCGTTTTTTTTTCTCTCTTGGCTTAATCGATTGTGCTTAAAACTATTTACTTTCATTTTCCTTCTTCTAGTTTCATATTTACTCTTTCAATTTCACACAGAGAAGAAAAAGAAGAAAAAACAAATTAGTACGTGTAACGAGAAACTTGAGCGGGGAAAGGAAAACGCGAAGAATCTCCGCTTATACCACACCACTTCCTTCCGCAAGTTTCTTCCTTTCTCTCAAACTCTACTCCTCCCTCTTCGTCACCGTCCTTTTACCTGTGAACCGCAATTTCTCTCCTTCCGCGATTCCTCATTCCTCGTTCCTCGGACATTCCCGCTTCTCCTCTCGCGCAGGAGTACACACACTCTCGAGCGAGCGGTCTTCCGTCTTTTCCATCCCCCTTCGGCCCCTTCCGTTCCTTTTCATCTCCGTCGTGGCGACCGAGGGGCTGAGCTAGACAAATAGCTCCGGCGTGAAATACCGCCGCCTCTTTAAAACTTTAAAGTGTTTCGAGTAATCCTAAGGCACGACTTTACATCATGGTTGTACCCCACCGAGGATACACGCAAGCGTAGAAGGAAATGGAATATCGGTGCGCCCGCGGTGGGCTTCCGGCTACGCTTGTGGCACATCCGGCGACAGCGAGATTTCCCGGAAGATTGCGAGGCGCGCGTAAGTATACTGTTATTACATCATTATATCCCGCAAAATATATATATTATATATATACTTTCCGTTATTTTATATATTCTTTAGTTCTTTAACTTTCATTATCTTCTTTTTAATTGTTTTAAATTAATATTTTTATAGAGAACCGCGCATATAATTGATGACTGTGTATAGAAAAAGAAAGAAAAAGAAATGATACTAATAATTATAATCAGATTATTTATGTGATTTATTTTCTCATCAGAATATGGTCATGTGAGTGGAAAAAGATAATGACTAACCTTCCTCAACGACTAAGGTGACAGTAGCTGATCGACCCTCCGTCGGCCTGCATGAATAGTTTCCGACGTCATCTTGCGTCACAGCTGCCAAAGTCAACACAGATACTGTACGTGCCGCTCCCCTTTCGGTCTCCACATTTATTCCTCCGCGCGCTGCCTGGATGAAAAATATACAAGTGAACTCGATGATGAGGTAAGTAATGGGAAATTTTTAGAATACTTGAATAATAATAATATAAATATAGTATAAATAGTATAAAAACAAAACTCATATTTCTCATTTTCCAAAACTTATGGCAAGATTCAAATTATTCATACATGCAGTTTTTGATAAATTGCCAAAACTTTTTTATTTTAAGATTACATAAATAGAAAGAATTATTTTTCTAAATATATTAGAGTTTTATCATATAATTTCATGTATTTAAGAAAAAATTGGAATATGCGATTATATTTTGCTTTTATTTCTCACATCATGTTTCATATGCTGAGATCTCTTTTTAATTCAAACCCGTGTTTTTTATATGCATATATATCAATAAATGTAAAAGCGCTCGTTATCATTAAATCAATAGAACAAATACAAATTTATTCAGATTGCATATATAAATTAATAAATAAAAATAAAATAATTAATATAATATAAAAACTCTCTCTCTCTTTTTCTGGAATGCATCAAGTTACGAGTCACGCATTCGAGGGAATAATGTAATTTAGTACGCGTCCAAGATAAAATTGCAATTTCAAATTTATCGACGTTCTTGGAAATCTCTTCATCACGGTGTACTTTAAATATATAAGTAAATTAGCAGCCCTAAAACTTATCGCAAACGTGTTCCAGAAACTTATCAAAAATTCACAAATATGTGTCAGTATATATTATAATTTTTTACGTATAAATTACGTTTGTGAAAATTTTCTTAATAACAAGCAATAAATAACGAGAAGAAAGATATGAGCTAGAGAAAATCAATCTCAGCTCGATGTTTCCAAAGTTGCCGCGTCAAGCGCGTATCAAGATAATCGCGACAAAACCGCGTCGACTGTCAAATCGATCAACCTTTTCAACCATCACGTATCGCGCCGAAAGAAACAGCCGACGCAGGCTACTACGCAAACAAAAATGTGGAGGACACGACGATGGTGGCCATACGACCCACATCCCTTCGCTTCGGCCGTTGATGATATACGATCTCTCCTTTTTTACCCCCCTTCCGATTCCCGGTCGTCAAACAGAAATTTCATTAGTACGGCCCCGCGTATCCAGCTGAGACTGCATTACCTGGAATGTTAGGAGTTTGTTATCCCGAAGCCATTGTACACCCCTGATGGGACGGGTCTGATACGGCGACAATATGACGCACCTCAGGGTGATCGTCGAGCCCGACGGCACCCTTTGCTCCTGGGGTCCCATTATGTCCGCTACCGGAGCTGTACTCTCATAACCTGGAAGTCATGTTCGAACAAATATCATGCGGTGGCTGTGAGAAGCGATTGAATGACCGCCTCGTGACGAGATTACTCGCATATCCGATGGTTGAGGGTAACCATAATGCGCTGCAGCGTGCCAGCAAATTTCGTAATCGAATCCAAAGATTCCCGGTAGAATCTTGGTTTAAAAGAGAAATGCAATTAGAGTTCCTTAACCGACACTCTGCTTTAAAAACAGCTTGGCTACATTTTATGAGAACCAAGTATATGCGCACATATTTATGTGCTCAATTTTCGTGTAAAAATTCTACGGGATTTGTATGAAACATAACATATTTTTAAACTATTTACTTCATAAATATATTAAATCATAATATTTCCGCATAAAAAATTATATTTAATTGTGTGGTAGATAGCTAATTCTATTATCTATTAAAAATAATTAATTGTAGCTTATATTGATCGTAAAAAATTATTAAAATATTAATATATTTAAAAAGAAATAATTCCAAATTCATAAAAAAATTGTTATCTAAAATAGATGAGCCACAATACATATTCTATACATTTACTTTAATTAAATATGACAAGCAGTGGAAACATTCGACGCATGAATTTAATCAAGGTTCTATTATTTATGTTTGCTGTGTCTCAAAAAATTAATATAAATACGGAAACAAAAGAGAATATTTTATGGTACTTATCACTTGCACATTACTATAATTCAAAAAAATCTCAATGAGACTCGTTCGATGTCAAAACGGCGAACAAACGGCGGCATATGTAAAAGAAATTTTTAATTGACAGCAATTTTTTAATTGACAGCGTTATAGTGAGCGTGATATATCGCGAATACCCTCTAATTGATGCAATCCGTCCTCGATTTTAATATCTCAACAAGCGGGATTAACGCATTCTACGTCTATCTCTCTCCTTCCTTCTGGCGAAAAGAAACACCCAACGATGCGAGGATGAGCGCTTTACCGCGTTCCATCAAGAACACTTGACAAATGTTATGCGATGATTTTAATTAAAGCCAGGGTTATATCCACTTTTGTTGCGTCTGTGTTCCGCCAACGCGGCACAAAGTAGAGTACGCTGAAATAGCAAGAAATATATATAATAACACGCTCACACACGCAAAGATGTACTGTCAAGCTTGTACATTTTAATTTAGAAAGCAGGGACAAGTACTCATTTAATGCGCGCGAGCTACCACGCATCACTATGTGCATCGGCTTTTATAAAGTCTACCGTAAATTACTTCGCCCCTTAAAAACTCTTCGGTTCTCCACATATATGATAAATTACGAAACAGCTTTCAGTTACAAACTTTGATCGCATGACGAAACAAAGTCTCATTTTCCTTTCATAGCGCATCGTATCTACGCACGGTTAACCGCTCGTTTTTATGTAGAAATATATTTCCTTCTTTTTTAAAAAATAATGTATATAAAAGTCAAGTATTTATATCGTCGTAAGGTGATAATAAAGTAAATGAATAACTGATATGTCAAAAGTTATATGACGTGGACTAATTATAATGAAATAATTTCACATGCATGAAAGTAACGTACAATGATACTAATATATTTTTCGTGGCTAATCTCGACGCTAATGTAAGTTATCTCTGAATAAATTAATAATTCATCATTAACTTCGCAAAGAAGAAAAAAAATTGTCAAAAGTGAGGTTCTCTGTGTGCCTCGTATAAAAATATTGAGGCACGTATACATTATTCAACACGAGGAATGCGGTCGAGACTCATTTAGTGGGACGTTCCTATCCCTTAGAACTCTGAACTCTCGACGTGGCCAACGAAGAAAAGGATACGAAGAATCCACGGCGGGACCGCGAGATTAAGGATAATCCTATTAGACTTAAATGAATCCGGCGACGACTGCGTTCCCTCTAGCGAAATATTATGTTATGCTGTTATTACTATAAACTCGCTCGCCGACGATTCTTTCCTGAATGCGGTCCCGCTTGTCTTTTTCTTGCCGGAAACTTTATGGATAAATTCTCTCGTGATCCGCCAACACGCTCTCTCTCTCTCTCTCTCTCTCTCTCTCTCTCTCTCTCTCAGTAGCAATCCTTAAGTGTGGATTTGACACGTCGGTATCAGATATGTGTATAATTTCGTACTTGTAGATTATTCAATTACGTTTTTTTTTTTCTAATAATCTATTCACATAAAATTAAATATTATAACAAAATTCTATAATATTATAATTATAATAGAATAATTGCTAATTACAAGCTGACAAATTACATTTTATTATCGTAATGATATATGGCGTTATTGGTGCAATAATGTATGTATGATTGCGCGGAGAAAAAATTTACTGTGCCATTATGTCATATTATTATTCGCGTACACGCAGAGCGTTGTATTTTACTTTGCTTTGTGTTTCCCTTTTATTTATCTGTCGCGAAACTTCGACAATATAGTTGGCAGCGATCTGTGACCATCTTTAAGTCTTGCATATATCGCGAACAAAAGCGAGAAGAAACTTGGCGCGAGTATATTTATTAGTCGGGTGAAACTGCGTGGAGTGTTCTGAGCGGAAACACGTCATAATACGACGAAAGAAATATTCTCGGTCGCAACTTTGCCATTAAGTCGATGTATAACCATATTTCAGAGTATAATATTTGAAGAAATATAATAATTAAATTCACTGTATGTTCAGATTTCTGTGCATAAAAATAAAAAATAATGAAAGAATTGAAATGAAATCGATAAACGTATTGTCAAAAAATGTATATCGTGTTTCCAACATTTGCAAACTTTCGCCGACGTTTTTAATTTTCGGCGATGATATCAAAAACATGCCCTTTTCAACGAGAGAACGCGGCTTCTCGTAATCTATCGTTTTGGCGTGAACGAAAAAGCGTAAATTCAAGAACGTCGAAGACGTCAGGAGAGAGAGGACGATATGTCTGAAATAAAACGACGTTACTTAAAAAGGATTATGAAGCGACTGAAGAAAGTTCGCAAGAAGAATCGACGACGACGGATCACGAGCGTCAAAGCCAGAACGTTGTCGTACTTATCCTTAAGTGATTGATGTCGTTCGGTTCTGCGGGAAAAATAAAAAGCAGCTTCTAATGATTTTTTAAAGGATGTTCGATGTACGATGAGAGCATGTCGAAGTTTATTAATATATTTATAAAAAATGTGACACGTCATTAATGTCGACTTTCGAGTTATTATATTTCTTGCATACGATATTTCGACGAGAGTTTAAATAATCTTTCTTTATTATTATAAAATACTTATATGTATATCTTTTAGTCTGTTATTACTTACATTTATATTTCATGCGAAAATATATGTATATAACAAGATTGTGAATAAGCGACAGTAGAAATAATTTTTCTTTCATCATACATCGAACTATTGCTATTAAATCACTGAACATTGACGATATGAGAATTAGATTTAAAACGGTCCAAATATTTCGTCGCTTATACATATATAATATGAGCATATATATATATGATAATAAATTTTCATATAATACACCCACTACAGAGTTTCATAGAGTATTACAGGGAATAACAGAAATAATGCTGGTTCCTGGCCAAAAGTTTGCCAGCGACCATTTAAAGCAGTAAAAAGGTATCGCGCAAGTTTTAAACATACGTTGTAACACCACTCGTGAAAGTTCAATTTAATCTCTCGTTTATAGTATTGACTATTCTATACAGAGTTTTATTATACCATTCTATGGGTTTTATTATATATTTCCAATATAGTTGTGCCTAAGCACGTAGCTTTAAGCAATTTCCAATACGATCAATTTCACAGATATGCTTCTGAGTTCCCATAAACCTAAATAGTGTAATATTTAAAAAATGTAAAATATAAAAAATTCGGCCACTACAAATATCGTAACAACGTATACACTGATAAAAATAAAATACATATATATCGTAATTTAATAAAAATAAAGCAAAAGTAAATAATGGAATAAACATTTCAGAATTAAATTATATATATATAGCAAAATAAATAATATAAGAAAAGAATCTGTACATTCAAAGTTCATTATAATTTATTTTTATAAAATATCCGACGAATGTATGTGATTTAATAACCAATAATTATAATTTCCTTAGAAATTTCCAGTGTTTAGCCGTATTAATCATGTTACCTAAATCGCGTCGGTGAAATACTAAAAACAAAATTAATGGTGACAGTGATACCTTACATTTGTAACGATTGTATTACAAGAAAGCGCGTTTTCTTCGCTCGATAATTATCAGTAAGCTTAGCGCTGTACCTCGCGGCTGATTAATCGCGCTTTTTCCAACTGATGCAATCTTAACGACGATTCAACCAGTGTGCTTTTGGTTCCGCTACTTTCCAAGTGGTAAAACAAAGCGGAAATTGCCAGTCGCTTGCGCGATGAAAGTTATGTTTTCAAATCCCTTGGTAACTGGGTCAATCTGTGCCCCACAGGGCATTTTATAGATTTATACCAGTGAAAATTTTTATTACAAGATAATGTTCATCACGCACATTTGCTCGTATGTACCGATGAAATATAGATGAATTTAAAAAAAAAAAAGAAAAGAAAAAAATAATACTTCTTAACCGGCCGCGTTATCGCGATCCGCGCGTAACTTTCAACAAAGTTTTGATTGCATAATTGTACGCTCGTCCGACTTTCCGTGCCGATCAAGAAATTCATAAAATAATTTGCATGATATAATTTCCGACTATACGATACAGGCGTTCCATTTTATATATAGCGCGCACACCCGATTCGGCTAATGCTGATTATGCGGAGAAATTAATTATGCAAGTCTGCGCAAAATATTATCGCTGATATCACAGACGGTAAAATAAGTCCGGCATCAGTAAAATTAGAGCTACAACAAAATGCAAATATGCGTATTTAAATTTCAACAATTAATTTCAATTGTTAAATATATACATATAATATGAAATTTAATAATAATATAAATATTTTAAAATAAAATTTACGCAATACTGAAAATGTATTAAATAATTAAAATAAAAAATTTACTTTAAGAATAAAAAAATAATATTGCTACAAATAAATAGCATTTACAGTTTTTAATTTACATTGTTAGTTATAATCAAGTAGTATATGTCCGTAAAAGTCAAATAAACTTAAATTTCTCTTTGAGTTAAACAGATTATATTTATATTGATCCATTTGCGCATGGGGATTATACGAAGTTTCTATAGTTGATAGGAGTTAATTTATTCATTTAAAATTTATTGTTATTATACCGACAGCCTGTTTAGCGTTAATGGGAACACGCTTTTCAGTCGTGTCTTTAAATATGCAACTGATTCGATCAACATAGAGACTGGAACCAAAGAAACATCACGCTTTTGCGTGTCATAAACGCACAGGCTAGAAATATGCATCACGTTCATGGTATATACTTACTTATACGTGTCTGCTGAGAATGTGGTTCGTCATACCCTTCCGGTTTGTCCGGATCTAGAAATACAAACACTTTTATGACAAAATACAGTTGTATCGTCAAGAAGCGAGAAAGACGAAATGCAATGATTCACAATCATAAATCTTTATGTCAAGTTCATATTTTTATCATATATCTTTTTACCTAAATTTTTTCGCATTATTCTATACAACTTACTGTACGGCAGATAAATCATATGTTATTATTTGAAGATTAATCTAAGGAATATATGACAAATATATTTTTAATACATTCCAATTTTATGTGCTTGCACATTATTTTATAAAGATATTCAATTACTTTCGTAAAAGTTTTAATAAAAGAACCATCGCTATTTCTATAAAAACAAAAATGTCAAATTGCTATCGTAAATTGTCGTACGAGGAGCAAACGTAAAGCACGAAATGTGAAGTGGAACGACAATCACCTCGTACAGAGAGCTGCACTGCATACATGATCTTAGGTTCCGTATTGACCTGGCACTCGTACTTGCCAGAATCCGTCTTTCTGGCGTTATCCAGCCTGAGAGTCCAGGCATCACTGCCTGGCGTATGCTGGGCTCCGAATCGCGCATCCGAGCTGAACGAGAAATTTCCCGAAGTGAGAATATGGAGGTCCCTGCTTCTCATCCAGGAAACCTAAAATCAGAAATGCAATTTACTGGAATAGGAAAACATTCAACAATCTTGAAAATTTTGACTCAAAAAATTTCTTTTAGACTTTTACCTTATTTGTTAGATAGCTATATGCACTAAATAAATGTATGAGATAAAAACAAATGTTTCTTTGAAATCAAGTTTGGAATTATATAATAATGTTTAAAATCAAAATTTATAGTTAAAGTGTGTGATATAAATCTTGTGCAAATTTTGAGAGTAAATCAATGTAATTACGTTTAATTAAACACAACTAATTTTATGGCTATACCAAATCATATTCTTCTGTCATTTATTAACTATAACTTGTTAATAGAGGTTAAATATAAATAATCTACATAATATACACAAATTCTTAGTTTAAGTAAAAAAATAAAATACAAAAACAATCTTTTTAAACGCTTTAATCGCGAAAAAATTAAATATAAGTTTTAACATTTCCCGACCTTACCACGTGATATTCTTTACCTAAGTGCGAAAACATCTCGAGTAAATAAGAATTCGGGGTGAATGTGGTAGTTCGGAACTATACGGATCCTTCGCTGTAAGGATACAAACTAGGGGTAGTGGTTGGACGCACACTCGATAATAGCGGCACTCGGGAAACGTAAAGTTGCCAGACACCGTTGATGACGCGCATTTGTCAGAGTGGCGTCATTTAACCGATACGTGAGACCGCAAACGCCCGTCGTATCGATGCGACGACCGTTCTCCTTAAAATCCGAGAAGGCTCGCGCGCAGAACGTGCACTTGCTTCGCGTAAATCAACATCCCCTTCATCGCTATAACTTATTTCCCTCGTTCAGCGCACGACGATCGAACACGTAATACGTCGTAATACATAATAATACATTACGACGCGATGATAATAAAGTTAATGGAGCGGAAACGGGAGAACATGTGGCGCGTAGGATAGTAACACAACGATGGGCGTAATGGCGCTAATGGATGCTCGATTACTCGAGCGGCACGCAATTATTATTAATTATCATCGATACTGTGTCAGTGATAGCGTATTACCTATAATCAGTATTCTCTTCCCCTCATTTAGAAACATTTCTCCATCTCGATTATAATATAAATTAACGATAAATGAGATCTGTATTTTTACGAAATAGCCAAATGCTGTTAATTGCAAGGAAATAACTTCTAATTGTCTGAGAATTTTATTATACCATATTAAATGCTGCGCTCGCATCACCTAAAAAATTTTAAATCCCTTCTCCAATTATGTTCTACTTTAGATATTAAATTAAATATTTTAGTAGATAAAACACAAGTATTAAATGTCATTGATTATTTTAGCCTTAATTTAAGTTATTACACTCTATGAAATAATTAAGTAAATTTAACAATCTGTTTTATATATAGAAAGTTATGTATTATATATTATATATTAAATATATAACATTTATAAGAGCATTAACTATTTACAAATAAATATTTAATTTGTTTGCATAAACAATTATTTTAAAATATTCTTTAAACATTTGCACATCACATAATATAACTGACATTTTTGACAGAGATTTCCTGAAGTTTATAATTTATGAATATTATAATACAGCAATTTTTTCCTCCTTTGTTTTAATAGAACTTTTAAACAAAACACGACGAGAGTTAGAAAATTCAAAGAACATATCCGTTTTAAACCAGCCAAGTACTATGTAATTCTCTCTGATTACTCATTCTCTTTGTCGTATTTTGCTCTGCGTTGTATTAATGCCAAAGTCTCGCGCAACCTACTTTGGAAACATTACTAACACTGATAAATTTTAGAAAAGTTCAGCCATCTCGTTTCACCAATTAATACTCGTATATCGCTCAATATCGATGTGTATATAGCATTAACAAATAATTAAAATAATTAGAAACTATAATCATCAGTATCACGCTATACACAAGCTGATTGATCATTTTTATTTATTAATCAATTCTCAATAAGTGATATATATGACAATTCATAAAAGAACGATATAATCAAAGTTTTTATATTCTATTAGAAAATCTTGTCGGATTTCTAATTATTTTCTACAATTTTATAATTATTTTCTGTATTTATTTCAGTAAAACTGACTGTATATTATCCTTTTCTTGGGTGAATTTCTGTCGGTTGAGTCATTCCTGTTTGTTGGGCGCCTTTAATGTTCGTGAAATCACTCTAATAAAACATTCAGTCTCAACGGATGTTTGATGAAACAAGGCGAAATTTTTGCAAGAGCAGCGTCGCCAGCAAAATCCGATGAATATGGTTACCGGACATTGTGCCGTGGCTTATCCGATCCTCATATTTTTCAGCACTCGGCCGGCCAAACGGTCGGATATTAGATATCCGGTTATCGGCTGGTAGTCATTTCCGGTCTATACCCAGTTACCATTTTCCCATTGGCTATGTCATGAGACGTTTCACCGTGTATTAGCTTCGTCGATGAACGCCTGGGAATACATGATACTCTTGATGATTTGTTGCCATGACGGCGTATCGAAAAATTTATCGATTCGCGGCCGCAAAAACGTGAGATATCCGCCGCCATGGCGGCTTAGAATGGGTTTTAATAATGCCATAAGTAGTGACGGGCATTCCAAGCGTTGCGCCAATTTAATCTTATTGCTCCGAAATTTTTAATAATAATATACAGATGCATTGCGATAGATTATTATGCAAATATATTATTATTAATATAACCATTGCTTGTAATTATATTGCATATTAAAAACGATTATATTATTCCGAAGAATAATAATTCAAAAGTCTTAACGACCGACGATCTCTTAATCTCAGTACAAGTTGATCCTATCCTACAAGAAGCATTTAAAGATAAATTAAGACATAGTCTTTTAATGCAGGTTGTATATTCGAGAAATTAAATCATGCGAGTTTCTTTGATTCATCACTAGCAGTATCGTCAGATACAACCGAGAACATCCCATCGACGTGACATCGAGACTGCGAGGCGTCCAATAATCTGGTTGACAAAAAAAAAGGCAACGGAGTCTCGAATATTCCGTCGGCATGGCGGTGGGACTCGAGATTTATCGTCGTTATTAAAACAAGCGCGGTGATACACGAGCGATCTCTGGTCGGGCAAACGTAGACATTATTCAAAGAGAACAAAAGAAGTCTAGATTAATCGGTAATTAAATCGACGGCGGAATATCGCAGTATACTGATACACGCGGTTTCTCTCTCTCTCTTTCTTTCTCTCTCTTTTTCCCACTCTCTCTCTTTCTAACGACTTGCTTTTCCCAATTTTATCGGTCTGATTCGCAGCTATATGATATATTTGATTATCGGGTGTCATTCGGTTTTAATAAAACATCTCGTTTTATTCATAATCCGATAAATCCTTTGCCGCGTCATTATAAATCTTTGCATTGCTTCTGAAAAAAACAGAAGAAAACTATTTGGAATACGAAGAAAGCATAGAGAAGTAGAAAAATCAAATTTGTTAACACGTATATATTGTCAAAGATATATAATCAGTGGAAAAATTTTCGTATTGAATAATCTCTTACTAACGCTTCACTTCTGTAAATTGCTTTCGTTCGTAAAGAAGCACGTTCTAGCTAAATTGCAACCGTTCTTGTGAATACAAAGCAAGTAGCGAATTGTACGACATGTGTTTGCAATATAATGTGCTTATGCATAAGCGACGTTGTAAGGAGAGCGAGCGCATCTATAATTAACTAAAGGTTTCTCATGTTGAATACGCAAACGTGTAATGATTCTGGCAAGGTAGAATCGGCGAAAGATGAAACGAGCAGGATTTACATATGCGGCATGCACAAGGCTGTTATCGTGTAACGTATATTATTACGGAAATTGTTACTAAGAATTTGATTGCATGCGAATGCACATCATATATGCATCAGTTTGAACAATTATTTAAATAAAGAAAAGATTTCCTCGTGTTACGCATATATGCCACATATTGTATATATATAAAGAAAAAAGAAAAAAGAAAATTATATATTTAAATTTAATTACATCTAGAAATAATAGCATAAAAATCTATCACCGTCCTTTTTTTATATATTGCAACTATTGGTTGGTTACAGTCAGACTCGCGATGAAAGCTAATTTAGGGATTTTTGCATGGACATCAATTAATATACATTGTATTTATCTTATTAGCGAAATAAATTTCGGTCTTTCAGAGAAATATAGACACTGCGCAATTTCATTTGTCACTGCTCGTGATTAAATGCGTAGAATTACGTTATATGACAAATTACTAATTCAGTTTGGGTATGTCAATGATTTTATAACAACATTAATAAAATATCGTATTAAGAGCATCAAGAGTATTAAGCGTAATCGCTTTCCATTATACAGAGGCGAGAAAAACTAATTTAATATTTTAACACAATGGAATATTGCGCAATTCTCTTTATATTCCCAGCAAGTTTCATCGAACTTTGATAAACTTAAAATTCTAAGAGATGTTTCTCTCGCGTAAAATATATATATTTTTATATAAGGAAATCAATATGTATACCGTAATCTATAATAATAATCATAATAATCCCATTTAAATCTCGATTGGGGACTATCTCCGAGAGAAAATGCCTTGGAGATATTCGCTTTTAGCGGAATGCAGCGCTGCATAATGCAGCCTTCGTGCGGAAAAGGATGGCGGTTGCTTCGGCAATAACATTAGAATGGGAGAGGGATTCACCATGCGGCACAACACGTTATACAGCGTGTTGCAGCGGGGGTGGTGTATCACGGCATTTGGTCGTACGCCAGTGTGCCTGAATATACCATCCACGGATGGTCCAAAATAGAACTGCCTTTGAGGTCGCGAAGGAGGAAGAAGCGGAAAAGATGACTGCGTCGGGCGGATAAGGGAGAAGTGGAGTCGGGGAAGATCGGAGTCGCCGTGCGGCTGTTAAGGAACGTCTTCTGGATACGGTGGGGGAGACAAAGGACGGCAATAGAGAGCCGACATAACCGCTTTCATCTGCTGCGTCGGCACCAT